GTTTTATAGTAGGAATTCCATATATTAACATTTATTTTTAACCGTAACCGGTTCGTATCTCGAAAAGAAGCCCATCCAAAAGGTTCTAAAAAGGGCTTCTTATTTATTGGACACTCGCATTTTTTCTTTAATAAAATTCTATAGATTGTATTACAAGTGAAAAATAGGGCATTGCCTTTTGATTTGAAGTCTGGTGTTTGGTACTCCTCGTTGAAGTCAATTATGTCTGGACGGCGGACGACAACACCCTCATGTTGTAGAACGTGGCAGAATTCCTCCACCTCATCGTAAGCCTTTTGCAAGTGGGCAGATGGAAACGGTTGTCCACCTTTAGTTTTGAAGAATGGCCAATGTTTCTCAGACGTATTTGCCTATCATGGTAAAAGATAAATACAATACATACATGCCTCCTCAGTTTTTTAATGGAAAACACCATATGCAAAAGATATGTTATTGAAACTGAATAGGTACGGTATTCGTTTGAATATTTTAGTACAGTAATTGTACGGAGGCCGATATAAACCTAATAGCCGTAATACAAATATTTTACTGCCACATGTCTCCCAAGTAAAGACGACTTTTGCGACCAAGGTTTTTTTAATTTAATTTTATTCAATTTGCAGGTAAACCAATCACACAAGTAGAAACAAAGGAAGACAAAACGAAAGCTCTATCTGAAAAATAAACAGTACCCTGGGGATGGCCAAAAAAACAGTACCCTGGGGATGGCCAAAAATAAACAGTACCCTGGGGATGGCCAAGAATAAACAGTACCCTGGGGATGGCCAAAAATAAACAGTACCATGGAGATGGCCAAAAATAAACAGTACCCTGGGGATGGCCAAAAATAAACAGTACCCTGGGGATGGCCAAAAATAAACAGTACCCTGGGGATGGCCAAGAGTGTAAAACACTATAGTATCAGAGTGGCTCTCCAATACTGCACTTAATCAAACTAGCACAAATACAATAATAAAATACAAATATAAATTTAATATAATTTGTTAAAATATTACCAAAGATAAAATGACTAATTGCAAGATTTTAATATTAAATATATAAAAAAGTATTAGAAGCTAATAATTCCACAATTCAAATTGCACGAACAGAAGAATGAAGTGCAGTGCTAAAACTTCTTCGATTAATTAAAATTAGGTCTCTGGCTTAGCTTTTGTCTCTAATTAGAATAATAAATAAATTCATTTGTTAATATGGGATCACAAAAAAAAAGGTCTTTAATTATAGTAGCTCCTTAATTGGAGGGGTATTTAATTAGAGGGAGATTTTACTATTTACATATTTATTTTTATGCAATGATGGTTATTTTTATTCTTTTATCTTATTTCTGATTTTTGGTCAGTTCTTTTTGATCTTTCCAGTTTTCTTATATAAATCAAACTTTTAACGGTATGTCTAGCGCGCATGTAAAATATTGCCAGCGCACTTTTACTATAAATTTTTCTGCTTTATTGAATTTAACATTTATTGAAATGTGACGCATCATGACCATATGAAATACAGGCTTTAACAACCACCTAATACGTTTTAATCCTGTATACATATGTTTGGAATAAAAAAAAAACAAAAAACAAAAAACTATGACTTAAATCATTTTACAATTTTATTGAAAAAAAAAAGATGATATTACCTTGACTTCAATTGAAAACTGTGGAACAGTTGCGTTGTCAACTCGACCTACGATTACTTCTTCCAAAGTGTCCCATTCATTGTAAGATCTAACGGGGCTTTTGATGGATTTTAACACTTGTTTTTCATGATTTTTGTTTCTTTCAACTTTGATGTCATGATTATGTCTAAAACTCAGATGCTTGTAGAAATAAAATTGGAAAAAAATACTGTAAGTAGTACGGTATATTCACATTCATTAATATACCTACGTGTAAAAATATGAAGTTAATAATTTAAATATAATTACATATGAACACATGAATCAACTAAATAGGATATATTAGTCAGAAAAAGTTAACTTACCCTTTCAAACGCTAGGCCTAGTAAGTTGAACGTTCTTTTCAGTACCCTTGCCGGTTCACGGCCTCGGCATCCTCCACGGAAGGCTCTGATTGCTTGCATTCTTCAGTAACTTTAATAAAAACTACAAAATATATACCATACATAATTATATAATATACAAGAGTCTAAAGATGCACTTAGTTAAAAATAAAGCGTTATTTGTAGAAAAGAACAAAGAAACTATCCTAATTGTGTTTGTTATGTTAATAATAATATAAAAACATAACAGGCCTGCCCGCCCTACCTCCTCTAGGCGAAAATTTCCACAAACACACACAACGCGCGTGTGCGGGCGCGTGATATCTCCAGCGCGGCGCGGAGTGTGGTCGCGGTCTGGGTGTATTACGCGTCACACACCCATGATGCTGTGTGTTATGCTGAAAAAGCTTTAAAATAAAATGTACCGTACTTAAGTATTACACACTTCATTACATTATTAAAAAAATGCTATCTATTTCAATATTTGGTCTAACTAATGAAAAATATAATTTGAATTATGCACTTTTATCCCCGATCTTCCAACAATACGTTTAATCAAAAATTATGTTCTAACATTTTCTCACAAACATTTGCTTATAAACGTAACTTTTCATTTACTTTATTCTCCCCTTTTATATTTGTATTGTTTGCAGCTAATGTAGTTGTATGGTGGACCCTGGTTTTAATATTTTGCAATATTTATTCGGTCATCTTCCCATTGATATTCTTTTAAAAATATTTGACTCCAAAATTCTCCCCATTTTATTATATGGATGTGAGCTGTGGGGAGTTGAAGATAATATAATAATAGAAAGAATCCATTTAAAATTCTGCCGTTATGATTTACAGATTCCAAAGACAGCTCCAAACTCTGTAGTTAGAGGCGAACTTGGAAGAAAGTCTCTCTTGCCAATTAGAATTATTAATAGTATTAAGTATTGGTTGTATATTTTATCTTTGTGTTCAAGTAGATATTTGCGCCAGTGTTATCATTTTCAGTTTAACAAGGCGCAGCGAGGTCAAGCATGCTGGGCGTCTGTCTCTTATACCCATCTAGATGTGTATAAGAGACAGCTACCATTTTATTTTGAAATGCCCATTATATAATCACGAAAGAAATCATTTTATTCCTAATTATATTGCAAACATGTTCTACTTTGTTTCGTTATTCAAGTCGAGGAAATCAAGTACGATTAAGTCATTAGCCAATTTCATTGTACATGCTTACAAGAAGCGAACATTTTATTTGACACACTAATGTTTATGTTTTAAGGCTGTTGGCCTATATACAGAATAAAGTCTCCCTCTGGGGAGAATTGAATTGAATTGAATTGTATTATATTTTATTTAAAATTTGTATTGATGATATGATATATTTTTTACATCCCTTATTTTTTCTCGAATTTTTATATCTTTATTTTATGTTATTGTATTCAGTATGTTATATTTTTCTGTATTGTACATTTTATAATGGTCATTTATCATACTTTTCAAATTGTTAGCAAACTTGTATTTAGTTCATATTGTGTTTTTTTGTTAAAAGAGCAGTTGGTCCTCAGATAAGAGATTGTTATCTCTTTAACTGTCCCTGGCTATGAAATGAAATCATCAACCCCATCATTCTATAGCTTTACTACATATTATTTAACATTCAGCTTATTATCTAAAACTACTCCTAAATCACTATGGGAGGGAACATAGTCTAATACGGTATGGAAATACAATTTTATTTCCAAGTATATTGTTAGTATTTTGCAATTACTTAAACTAAAAAAATCCCCATGCTGAGCATCACGTTGCTCTAATCTGTCCAGTCCTCACTGTAATAAAAATGCTTCATTAGGAGTAGAGACAATGCGATATAGTTTTATGTCTTATATATGTTTTGATAGTCTTTTATGAAAAGATTAAAAAGAAGAGGACCGAGAATTGAACCCAGAAAACCTCGGAGACTGCAAAAAAAGTGGGCGTGGTCGGACGTCGCTCAAAACCTCCCGAAAGTGTTTAAGGGCCCGAAAATATGACAATTTGGGGTTTCAAAGGTTTATTTATTCGATTTTAGAGTCTGCCAATATGTAAAAAATACATATGGCCTACATTTTTTTCTCCCCGACGAATTGTAGTTTTTTTTTTCTCCCCGACGAGGGCCCTGGGCCGCCACCACCACTGTGGCGCTTCTACTTAATTATCAAGCCCCAATTTACCTGCACCTGCCCCTTTCCCCACTTCCCCACATTGGCGTAACTAGGTTTCGAGGGGCCCTGGTTCGAGTGTAGGCCTACAGTTGGGGCCCTTCGCAAATAAATTGGCCGACCAGGCTAACTAAGCTGTAGTCCTATATTTTCTTTTTATTTAAGCATATTTAGGCAGGATAACATATGGGATCTTAACGCTGTTTCACAATATGCTCCTGCAATAATACTGTACAAAGAGGCCTATCAGTTAAGTATTACTCTTTTACTAAAATAATCAGTACCGGTAATAAACATTAACCTGAAACCCATCCCGGATTCTAGGTTTCAGTTTTGGGCATTAAAATAAACACTTTAATATGAGCATCTATTAAAATGAATGATTGTGAAATATATTACTCGTTTTATCATCTTGGATTTTAGGTTCGGGCAGGAATATTAATTTCTAATGTATTATAAATATAGATAACAGATACAGATACCTAAAGTCATGAAACTATGTAATACAATGTAGACTCTGATATATATCGAGGTTGTACGAAATTACATTAGTCTAGAATTAGTTGGACTGTTTTGCTCCCACACCACAGTCTTCCAGTCTAGCTTTCTGGATTTGGAATAATGATTACTCAGTAAGTTATGAAAGTAAAAGTGCCAGAACATAAATTTATGATCATTTAAAAATAAAGAAACCTAAATAGACTTAGGTCAATATTTAGTGTTGAGTTGATAAAATTATCATCACCGACATGTTTAAGACATATGTTTTCGTCCTATGTTATAGCAAATGTTCACAGCGGACCAAAAAGATCTCCCTCAATGGGCGACTTGGTTGCGGATGTGAGGGAGTGATTGGAATGTTAATGACTCAAAAACATTGGCTTACAAATAGGCCTATTCACAGAAGAGGTAATAGGGCCTAGGCCCTGTACCCGCTATATAGTGGGCCAAGAAAATCACCACATCTGGACAAAGACGGTAGTACATTGATCCAAAATCAGCCAAATAATAATAATAATAATAATAATAATAATAATAATGATAAAAATAATGATAATAATGATGATAATAATAATAATAATAATAATAATAATAATAATAATGATAATAATAATAATGATAATAATAATAATGATAATAATAATAATAATAATAATAATAATAATAATAATAATAATAATAATAATAATAATAATGCAGTTTTATAAAGACGGTAGTACATTGATCCAAAATCAGCCAAATAATAATAATAATAATAATAATAATAATAATAATAATGATAATAATAATAATAATAATAATAATAATAATAATAATAATAATAATAATAATAGTGCAGTTTTATATATCACTGTCCATCAAATTTGACAGATATTGTGAAATACATACAAAAAAAAGAAGTAGGCTTAATTAAAGGTAAAGGTAGAAGAATAACCCATATCTAGAATGCTAAATAAAACATGTGTTATGAATGCAATATGCAAAGGGTACGGTATGTATATTTCTCCATGAATAAATAACCACGAATACATTATATAATGCAATATGAATAACATGACTGAGTTTACGGATATTGAGAAATAAATATAAAAAAGACGTAGGCCTAATTAAATGAAACATATGTTATGAATACACAAGGTATAATATACATGAATTATTTAAATAAACCTATTAATTGTCTTTTGAATTAGGCCTACAAGTGAATATGCTAGAGTTTCTAATAACAGACTGCTGGTGTAGTTTTTTCTTTTTATTAAGTCAACAAATTGACAAACTGATGTTGTATTCCTCCATGGACAGATCTAACAGGTGAGTGTCCCGGGGCCCGGCGCCGACAGGGGCGCGGGATGGTAGGTAAAACAATAAAAAAACAAAATAAAATGAAATGATTAAACGTATACATTCATCCAGTACGGTATCATTCATGTTTTTTCCTCACATGTTGATCATTTATCGATGAAAGCTCAAGATGAATCGCTTCTAATTCTTTTTAATTAATATTTTTATGACTTCTACTACTCAGGATATTAGAAGTTAATTAATAATTGTCAAAGGCTTGGACCTTAGACATATGTCAATATACATACAAGTTAGAAAATATGAATAGACCTGGTAGAGAATCGATTGTCAAATAAATAATCAAATAATATATTAAGTGACGGATTAAAACAATTGAGAAAAAAGAAAAATTCTACTATAATTTTAAAGTTAGCTCCAACAATGGTGGGGATGATATAAACCCTCCATCTGTAATAGTCCTTCTGTGGGCTCTATTTCAAACTCCTGGATCGCCACTGTAACCTTTGATATGCTATGAATCTTTTCAGCTCTACGTTTCAATAAAGAAAGATAGCTATACTTTTCATGTTTCCATACTTTATTTTTCATGACCTATTGATTAATAAGCTTTCTAGATAAAACAAATCGAATAAATTCCCTCTAATCTGTTAAAAGGCCGTATACGTAGCTTCCGGGAACGTCACCCCGGCCACCATCGGGGATTTGCCCATCGATCCCGCTGGTGCCCTAGGCGGTCCCAGACCCTTAGCCACTAAGCTACCGTACTTAATAGAGCAATAAGAAACAGCGTGGGGTAGAGAATCAGTGTTAGAATGAGGCCTACGTTTCAACAGCGGTCCCGGTCAGGGTGCAAGGACAAAAGCCAGTAAAATATCAGCAGTTTGATTAGATATAATAAATAATTTAAGTGGATTATAAAGTAATACTTCCAGAAAGCTCAGCGATCAATGAGGTCAATGGAAAGACAGACCCACGGTTCTGATGTTATGAAAGACCAGTTTGAAAGATTTTTATCCATTCAATACAAGGATTGCAAAGTGCCCGATTGAGATCCAGGGACTAAAAAGCCCCAAGGAAAATATTCGACGGTTCTGAATATAAGTAAAACATTCTGATTGTAATGTAGCAATGACAAGTTCGGAATTAACAATTTAACCTAATCATTGCTGCTTTGCATCACACTGGAATTGTTGATTTCCTGAATGACGTGCGTAAAAATCAGTATTCCCTGCTCCTTCCGAAAAGCATGGAGACCCCTCCCCCACCCCGCCGGGACACGACGCCACGACAAGGTCGTCGTTGAGCTGAAATATTAACTTTTCTAGCCCAATTCAAAGCTTTTGTGATGCCAATCCCTAATAATTTGGTCTAAAATTACAATTAGAACCCACCAGAGAATTTTGTCCCTAAACCACGGAGGCCCCGTTTTACTGAACTGCCGGTAGTTCCTGAATGTATAATTGATTATTTTAACATTATTAACAATTTTAAACTATGATGTTCATTATATAGATAAATACTATCAATCTAGATTTTTATATATGGATTACTTTAATTATTAGATTTTTATAAGGATATATAAAGATGGGGGGCCCTGGTTCATTGAACCGCCTGAACCTGCCGTAGTATCCCCATTTCAAGGCTCCTGATACACATGGAGGTCGGGAGTGAAATAGGCTGATTTTTCCGACGGGAGAAACTTGGGAGTTAATGACTTTCTAGAACACTCACATGGGGCCTGAGGAACACCCCTGGGCAGGAAATTCTGACAATTTAGAAAGGCATTAAACAAGTCTCACACCATGTAAAGAGTTTTTCTTTTCTCCCTGAAGGATTTTTTATTTTTTGGTTGACGGAGGGCGGGGGGTGGGGGTGGTGAGCTGCAGCCACTCGGAATCCCCTTCTGCCACCCCAGATTCCGTCATCAGCATTTTACTCAAAATAACAATATAAATTAACACATTCTCCTTGATTCTTAAAATGGGGATCGATAAACTCACTGTGTGTGTTACACTGTACATTCTCAGGAGTTATGACGATAGTGATTAAGAGAATGATGATGACAGGCGGTAGAATAGTTGAGTGATGCAAGGAATAATGACATCAAAATAAGCCCATCATAAATGTGGCCAGAGCAAGAGCAGAGATCGTTTTGAGAGGTACAGGGGGGTTGGGGGCATTCGTGACTCTACATTCATCTAAGCACTATACCATGGAAAATTTGAAGAAACATTACCTCTAGATGGCCGAAAATGACACTCTTAATAGGGTACCATCACAGTCAAAATAAAGCATCAACAACTTCCTCAAGATTTTTTTTTATCACTAACTTTTAATAACAGTTGTTTCACGGCAGAGCATCATATTCGCTCTTCCCATTTAGTTTATTTCAAAAATGTTCAGTATTAAAAGGTCCTGTAGTCGAGGTGCAGGAAAAAAAAGAACAGGCTTGATGATGTGGTAAAGCAATTTGGAGGGGATCAGTGGCTCTCCACTGGAAAGTTTTTATTTTATGATGCTGGGAAATGCGCTTCATGCCTCTTACCAATGTGATGGATAGGCCTATTAATAGATAATCACAAGAGCAAGGTTTTTTCGATGAAATAAATTTAATTGATCTGGTATCTAATTTTGTTGGGTTTCAATTATAATCTTTTTTTTTTTTTTGTGAGACCAGTTCAAGATATTTTACTTCTTAGGACAAAATTATGCTAAATTTGACAAACCTATGCCAGCACATAATTATGCTAGATGCTAAATATGACAAAAATCATAATTATGCTAGGTCTGGTCACTATGCAGATTACCGTACGCGCCACTGAGTTATGACAGTCACGCATCAGTGATTTTGAACTCGGCCAGGATTTGACCAATCAAAATAAGCCAAGGCTATGTTCAGACCATGGTTCAGACACAACGACTTACGCTAGCGTAACGTTAATCGAGTGGTGTGAACATGGAGGTATTATTGAGAAGGAGATCACTAGGCAACAGTTCCCTTTGACTCGACAAACCCATGTGTTCCCCGCTTTTGCATCGCGCGCGGGCGTATTACCCTATAATTCACATTTTTTCGTTAGCAACAACTTGGCAACGACATGCATTTATACGCTTCCAAGAGCAGTTGTGGAATAAAGCGTTTGATTTTAACCCATTAAATATCTTTATAATGAACAATGTTCCCCTGATTAGATTTTTTCGGGTTTTTGGTATGTTATTATTTGTATATTATAGGAACGGATTCCGTAAAATATCTATGTTAAAATTACTTCTGTGTTCATTAAAATTTTGTCTAAAGATTGACTGGTTCGACTATAAAGCTAAGTCAGCGTAAAACTGAAAAATACTCAGATTTTGGATTCATTTTTCGAAAAGTTAACCCTCGTTAACCCTAAAATGACTTAGTTTATTATAATCCTTAATCATTTATTAATTAAGATCTGTTAAAATTAGAATTGGCGAATTTTGGCCAATTTATGAAAACTGAAGTTGAAATATACTATACTTTTATAGGTCATGTAAATGTTCCATTAAACTCGAAACTTTTCTTGGAGGAAAATATTAATATGTTTGATATTTTATGAGAGATAAATGTATCAGCTTCAAAATAGAAAAGATTGCGCAGCCACAGTGATTGACAGTATGTAGTGCGCATTGAGAAAAGAAGGCTATAATTATTAGGAAAATCATTTGTTATACTGCTTTACTAGGTACCTAGCTAACAAAAGTTGTCAAAAGAATGGCAGAAAAGAAGAAAAGAGTTGTGTGGAGGGAGGGAGAGGTAAAAGATTTGATAGCAATCTGGGGAAGCCCAGAATTTAGAGATAGAATCGAAGTGAAAAATTGGAAAAGCAGTACTTCCGGCCAAAAAATGCTTGTATTCGAGGATGTGGCAGCTACTCTTCACAGCTTTGGTCACCCACGGAAGGATGGTCATAATATCCAAACAAAAATCAAAGGTCTGAGATCGTCTTACAAGGCTATTAATGATAAGATTATAAGATCGGGATCGGGAACAGATTGTTTAGAAGATTTCCCATATTTTGATTCGATTAATGAAATCTTGGGTCATAGACCAAACATCTGTCCACCAGAGAGAACAGTTGGGGATTCTTTCGGTCCAGCATTTCATCTGAGCAATCCTAACACTACCAGACCTCGACCTAGGCCTAGTAGTAGTAGGTCTAGGCCTAGCCCCACATCTAGCCCGTGCCCCGGAACTAGCAGCTCGGCAAAAGAAAATGGTAGGTTTATTTATTAATTTAAGTACAGTACATACTGTAAGCTTTAGAAACTATTAATAATTTTTTTTTAAAATTATTATTATTATTATTATTATTAATATTATTATTATTATTATTATTATTATTATTATTATTATTTAATACTTAAATTGTAAAAAGTACATATCGCACACTCATTCTTGGCACAGTAAGATTTTAATTTTATAAATTGATAGTAGTAGCCAATTTAACAACCACCTTGGTTAAAATATATATTATAAAAATGTCAATGTCAATGGTATTATTCTGGATTACAGTTTAAAAATTGTTTCATAAAACAGATGCAGTTGAATCTCCACTTTGCAGTGCTCCATATTCTAATCAAATGATTATGGGTAATTGATATTTGATGATATTTATTAATTAAGGGCAAATATAAAAATTTATTAGATTATCACTCCCACCCTCATCAAAAATTCGAGATGCGGGAATAAAAGAAAAAAAAATTGCCGCATCAATTATTTTAACAGCATAAAAATAACAATGCAATTTTATGACTTCAAATATATTTTCTTTAAAAAACTATAAAATTAAACCAGTTTGTATACAATATTTACTATTACTAGCTAAATATATACAGTCCCTCGAAAAAACAAGAGCAAAATAATATATTGTTCCGATGAAAAAAAAAAAAAAAAAAAAAAAAGAAACACGCCCTTCCTTATCAATTTTTTATTTTTAAAGAGTGGTAATCTAATAATTTTTCCTATGTACCCTAAATAACCTTATTTCAGGTTCAGTTTAGAATAGTATTTCCTAATATTAGTAATTATTTTATTTATTATTTATAGCCATCTTCATGAAAAAGTACTGTAGTCACTTATAACAATTTGTTAACAATTTATTGCCATCTAATGTTAGAATTAAACAAAAAACAAAAATAAAATAATTATAATAATAATCATACTTCAGAAGCCTTACACTAAATTTTTTTCATGCTTTTTTATGTGTACTGGTTGTTTTCTGGACTTGGTTAATGCTTGTTCCACCCTGCCTAACATGTCAATAAATTTTTTCAGTATATTGTATCTGTATTATAAGGCAGCAAAATTGAATAAAGAAAAGAAAGTAATTAAATATTTTTTTAAAATTGTTATTACTATTACTATAGGGCTTGAAGAGTGGTATGCAAATGATGATGATGAAGAAATACAATCAAGTCTAAATAATGATGTGGATTATAGTCCAGCAAACTTTGGTTGGTTGCATTTTTTTTTTTGCTATATTTTTAAAAAATTGGATATGATGTAGAATAGACATAGATAAATAAAAAAAGTATGTGCAACATTTTTTTTTTCATACGTAAGGGGGGTTGCCAGCTGTTTCAAAATGGCCGCCATTTTTTCCTAAAATTGTCACTAATATTGTAAATTTATGTCATTAAAATGCAGAATTCAATTGGAAATCCACTCATAACAATGACAGCAACAGTTAACTAAATATTGTACACATTTTTGAGCTATTACAATTTAAAATGGCTGCCATTTTCCATTATTTTAGCTTTTTAGCATACATATTAATATAATAATAACCGACCTGTACAAAAACCTGTCTCTTATACACATCTAGATGTGTATAAGAGACAGGGTAATACAACGATTAGTACAATTTTT